CCTCCTCAAACTGATCTGTTTGTTGGTTGCTATGTGGATGGCGACAAAATATCCATTTGGGTGGGGTCAAAAATTATATTACACTCTTATAGCACATCTGTAAATACTATCCTTTTGAACAAATGACTGTAGTTCACTAGGCCGCTGCGCTGTCAGAGGCTGCTTCCCAAATACCAACTGAGAACCTAGCCCTAACATATGGACACATGGGGTCAATGAAAAATCATGTCCCCAAAGCACAAGAAGTTCTGACAAAAGTGACAAGTTTTATCCAGGCTGCTGAAGAGAAATGTACTGAGGCTACAAAGACTAAGGAGGTGCACGCCTTTGGAACGTGTTTGTGGATCAAAATACACCCTAACGGATTCTTGAGAGAGCCCCTGGTGGCCATGTTAACCTTGGCATTGCTATCATTAAAAGGCTATGCTCACTTCTGGCACCTAACGTTGGACACATTGACAGCAACGGGGTTGATGAAAGAGGAAAGAATCTGTTTTGCAGTTTAAAAAAAAAGAAAAAAAAAAAAAACAGTTCTCAGATTTCTCAGGCCACTTGAAACCGCACCAGAGAAATACTTGATTTCAGCATTCTTAAGCTCTCTGAGATGATGCCGCAAGTGGTGTCCCCCACGTGTGATGATGTATTTCAGGGCCAGAGTTTTCTCAAGATGTTCCAAGCCTGCAGGCTCCTGATCCTTTTTCAAATTACGAAGATGATAGTATCCCAGTGAGAGTTGTGATTAGTCTAAACTTTCCACAGCTGTGAGAGATGGATGTACAAATTCCAATAAAGATTCTGTGAGTTCTGGACTGAATTTACCTACATGACATCGGGGCCTAACTCAGGGACCACTTAAAAGAACTGGAGCTGCCTCAGTGCTATTCCTTTTCTTCCATAGCATCAGCTGCTGGGAGGTTGGCAACTGTTCTGGGAGGATGCCTCCCCTCACGCCGCTGTCACTGCTCAGGTGTGGGTGTTTATTTAGAAGGTCTGCGATGTGTGGGGAGAAAAGCAGGGCTGGGGAAATTTAACCCAAGTACATGAGAATTCAAAGAGGCCTTGCAGTTCATTATATGAAGAGCCAAGAGGATTATAAAACACCTAACAACTGAAGGAGTTGGCCTGGAGCTGTGTGGGACAACAGAACCAGCTGTATCGCCACTTCTAACTCATTTAGAATGGTGCTAGCAAGGCATGCTCAGAGCATTTTCCAGTTTCTTGGAAGAGCCAACAGGACTTTGTTTTCTTATTTTGAACAACTTTACCCCAAAAACACTTTCTTGGAATACTAAGTAAATGTAATAATACATGGCATGCCCCTTTTACCATGTTTAATAATTGTATCATCTGAAGACACCTGGCTAAAACTCTTTTATGAAACATCTGACACTCAGCGTGCTTTCCAAAATGAGTAAAGACTGAGGACAAAGATTCACATCACGGTTTACACATATTAACAATTATAGAGGTAATAAATAAGATTCCTCACTTTGGAAAACAAAAAGAAAATATCAAGGGATTATATACAATAGTTTCCCCTTACCCAAGGTTTCACTTTCCATAGTTTCAATTACCTATGGTCAACAGTGGTCCAAAAATATTAAATGGAAAATTCCAGAAATAAGCAATTCATAAGGTTTAAATTGCATACCTTTCTGAGTAGTGTGATGAAATCTGCTCCATCCCATCCAGGCCGTGAATCATATCTTTATCCAGCATCTCCATGCTGTGCACACTACCTACCTGTCAGTCATTTAGTAGCCATCTCAGTTATCAGATGACTGTTGTGGTATTGCAGTGCTTGTGTTCAGGCAACCCTTATTTTGAGTAGTGGTGCTGGCAATTCTGATATACCAAAGAGAAGTGGTAAAGTGCTTCTTTTAAGTGAAAATGTGAAAGTTCTCAATTTAAGGCATTTTATTATCTCACAACATCACAAGAAGGTTGAGTACAATAAGATATGTTGAGAGAGACCACATTCATATAACTTTTATTACAGTCTATTGTTATAATTATTATTATAACTAATTTATTATTAGTTGCTATTGTTAATCTCTTGCTGTGCCTAATTTATAAATTAAACTTTATCATAGGTATGTATACATAGGAAAACACATAGTATAACTAGGGTTCAGTACTATCTGCGGTTTCGGGCACCAAATGGGGGTCTTGGAATGTATCCCCACAGATAAGAGGGGATTACTGTAATATGGTTTTTTAAGAATTATCTTATAATATGATTTTCATGAATGCAGAATCTTCCAAAGTCATGTATACATATCATGTACATACATTTCCACTGTTTAATAAGAGTCCACCAAAACACATCCGGTATCACTCCTGACATCTGGAGATTTTTTCATAGTTCACTATCTATCTTTTTACAGTGCACCTATGTGATATATGGCATCTCTCCTTGTAGATGCAGATTTTTCTCTTTCTAAGGCACAGCAGAAAGACAACACTGCTAAAGTCAGGAGACCCGATGGAGAGCTGAATGAGCTATAAATGAAATTCTGAAAACACCAACCTCTGGATGGTCTATCTAAGCTTTTTATTAAAATGAAGGAAACAAGCTCCCATTTTTTTCTAATATTCTTACAAACAAAACACACAACTAGAAACTTTTCCTCTTTCATCTTTTCACAGTCCTTTATGCAAATCTACATGCTAATAGATTCTTTCAACTACAGTTGACCCTTGAACAACATGGGTTTGAACTCAACAGGCCCACTTAAGCAGGGATGCAGAGGGCCGACTGTTTGCATTAACCTACCTACACCATTTTATATTGGGAGACTTGAGTATGCGTTGATTTGGGTATCTGTGGGTGGTTCTGGAACCAATCCCCTGCAGCTACCAAAAGACAACTAAGTTTTGGGAGAGTGAAAGATACAGAGAATTTTCAACTGCACAGAGGGTCCGTACCCTTAAACTCCCATGTTGTTCAGCAGTCAACTATACTGGTATATACCACCGTATCTTTTCTAGAGAAAAATCAAATCATTAATTTAAGCCTGTTAAACTGGATGGCAACTATGCATTACTCCCCCTGGAACCATGTTGCAAAGGCAACTTCAGTATCAAGTGGCTTATTCCTGTCTTTCCGCTGGAGGAAAATTCCAAATACAATTACCCTGCAAGGCAACTTGACAAAAACTCCTCTCTCGCCCCTCCCTCCAAAAAACCTTCAAAAAATTGAGTGGGAAATTATACAATATGCCAGGATTCTAATCGCTAAAACAAAGCTGCAGGGAGAAAAACCAAAGCAGCCCTACAGATAAGGAGAGTGTTGCCTTGCTGGGAATATTCAAGGTTGATCTGATGGTAGGTAATATTAAGTGGTGTGCTGGTAAATGTTTCATAAGCAGCTCTTACAGAGAAAAAGCCATTATTTTGCAGCATTTGCAAATTCCCAGTTGAAGCTTTCCCCCGCCAAAGGCTGATTTTAAGCTACCCAAGTGACATCACTAAATGAGAAATTAAGAAGAGATTCACAATAGCAACCCATTGTATAGTATTTCAGATACAATAGATGTAGATAATCTCGGCAGCATAAATTATAGTAAAATGTAGTGAAATAACTAGACCATGGTGGTTATTGAGTGTTAGTTTGTTCTATACAGTTAATTTTTAATAATCGTTGCATTCACAACTGGCTCCCAAAATTCGTGAAAATTTAAAGGTAGGCACTAATGAGCAAGTACCATTCGCTCCAGCACGCCACTGCAGTGTGCTCTTCAAGGACATTAAAGATATTTTGAACAAAAACAAACCAAATAAATGAATTTACTAAGTCATCTGGATTGAACTATCTCCAGTTTCCTACGGTGCCTACACCTTTGCTACCCCACTTTAAAAACACTCAAAGTTCAGGTTACATCGTGCATAGTATTTATAGGACTATCATTAAATGACAATTTCTTACATTTGTATCACGCATTACACATTTCAAAGTAGTGCTTTTATGGAACATTGGGACAGTCTGACTTTGCACAGTGAATTTTAATCTGTGGGTATTAGCATTTTAGTGCCTAGCAGGTAAAAGAGCCCTGTGAGCTGTTCTTTTAAGAGCTAAGCCAGGGAATGGAGCTGGGAGAAACACAAGGACGCCCAAAGCCTGCTCAGCAACCCCAAGGTTCCAGATTCCCTCCTGAAAATAGCCCCATTACTGCCGCAAGTACGTGTACAGTAGTTCTGAGTTTTCCTCCCTCTCTCCTGTTTCTGACTAACTTTAGAGATTTGATTAGAACTCAGTTTTTTCTGATGGAAAAAGAAAAATAGGTTGGACACTATATGCTCTAAAACTATTTTGCATAATAATTTATGCAAAGAGCTAAAATTATTAGCGCCATAATATTCAAAAATTCTCTTATCTGACAAAATAACTTTACAATGTTTTTCTCCCCATCTAAACATGTTACTATAGACACTTTTGCATAGACTATAGAGATTTCACTGCCAAAATTTACATCAACAGTAGTCGTGGCCGAGTGGTTAAGGCGATGGACTAGAAATCCATTGGGGTCTCCCCGCGCAGGTTCGAATCCTGCCGACTACGGGACGGTACTGTTTTGCTAATGTTTTCGTTTCCAAGAGTTCCCTATTTTCTTACACATTATTCGAGGAATTTTTAAACAGCTGAACTACAAAAGGACCCTCAATGAAGCCAGAAAAGGAGTGGCTGAGGGAAGTAGGAAGTCGTGTGATTGTAATTACAATCTGGCCCCAGGAGGGGGAGATGGGACTGAAACGTGCCAAACCTGGAAGGAAACGAGAGCGTCGCGATATGGCGCAAGAAGGGACATCTCCGATCTTCGGCCCTGCGAGGAGCGCTGCGCCGCCAGCGCTCGCGCACTCATAGCGTCCTTTTGCGCGAACGCATGAGAACCCAGGCCTCGCGGACACCACGGTCGCCTCGGGATAGCGCGCGCCTGCGCAGGGTTAGGCGCGGCTCCGGGCGCGCGCGGCGGGTCCTCGCGTTGCCCTTGGAAACCGGGGAGAGAAAAACGTAACGATTCAAGATGGCGGAGGACCTGGACGAGCTCTTGGATGAGGTCGAGTCCAAGTTTTGCAGACCAGACCCACTGAGCCTGAGCATGATCGAGCGGCCCAGAGGCTGCGGCGGCGGCATCCTCAGCAACGACCGGAACCGAGCGAAGGCGAAAGATAATCTCAGGTTAACGGGCGGGAGGGGTGGGCTGTCTGGTAAAGCCTGCTCCAAGCCCTAAAACCGCCCCTCCGCCCGCGACCTCCAGCTCTTCTCGCTGGTTGGGCCCAGATCCTCAATTCCCCATACCCCGGCCTTGGCCGTGCACACCTCAACTCCGGGTCCACAAGGATTGTGGCCTTTTACTCAGGCCCGACTCCGCCTCCGGGCAAGTCCCAGAGAGCTGGCCCCGCCTTTGAGAGCCCACGGCCTCTACCAGACAGAGCCCAGGGGGTCCTGAAGGAGGTAAGGAGAGAGGGTGCCGCGTAGGCGCCCTCTTCTGAGCCATGAGAGAGGTTCTAGTACCCCTGTAAGGTGTCGGCACAGAGAACCTCAACCTCTGACCCCATTCTCGAATTAGAGTTATAGTTGGACCAATTGTTGGAGAAAACGATTCCGTTCTAGTTGTCATTAGCTGATTTTTGTTTATCTTCAGCTCAGAGAATTTGGGGAAATTTCTTAAGTCTTTTGGGTTTTGATCCGAAAAATTACCTTTCGAATTTGTCTGTTTTTTCTTCTGTGTAATCATTAAATAGTAGAATTTACTTCTTCGACTTGTTTACCCCCTCAATCCCAAAAACAAACAAAATTTTTCTGTCAGAATAAGAATTGTCCTTCAAAGTGACCTGCAATAATTGTTGCTACTATCAGTTGGAGACGCTTGTGGAATTACACAGAGGCAGCTTTGGAACAACCCAAGAAAGGCATTCTTTTTAATTTATGACTGCATCTGTGGTTTTTGTTTTGGTGTGCATATGTGATTTCCCAGAAGTATTACTCAACTTCGTTTGTTACTCAATTTAGGAGACTTGCCTCTAATGACATATATTTGTTTACAAAAATTCACCCTCGGAAGATAAATACATTGAAAGGATTCTGAAGTTCAGAAACAGAAGTTCTAAAAGTTAATTGAGTGCTGGGCAGCATTCTAAAAAATAAATGTAGAGCCAACTGACTACTTTGAGTGGGCTGACGCTCCTTTGATTGGATGTGTATGCAAATATCACTCATTAATTTGTATATTATCTTATATGCTGGCTGGCCTTAGGTACTCATTCCCAGCACATCTATCATCCCTATCCCACAGCAATGTTACTTTGTAGTTTCTTTTATTGTTTTTATTCTTTACTTTACGGAATAGGGACAGATTATCAAAGAGTCTTCCAGACCCTGTTCATTTTAGGAGAACTAGCATACAGAGGGTAGGATCAGGCAGCTTAAAATAGAAAGGGCTGCTAATGCGGATCCTCTCCAAGCACAGATCCTTTTATGCCTCTTTCACGGGCCTGTTATTGTACTACTAAAATCCATCCATAATGCTTCTAGCACCCCATCCTACCTTACTACATCAGATTTTTCAGTAATACATTTATATAAGCTGTAGCAAACCAAGATTGTTGTCATGTGTTAAAACTTTTCATTTGGCAGTGTAGTTGCAAAGGTAAATTAATGCAAAAAAAAAAAAAAAAAAATCCAGCAACAAAGGCCCTAAACCTAGTACTAAATACAGTTCCTATCTGGTATATAATGTCAAACATTAAAATTTTGTCCTGAAGCAAAATTGATATTTAAAAGCTAGAAACCAATTTATGTTATGAATTCATTAGCAGGAGACTACCTGCCAATTGTATAGCGATGTAGTCTGTGTCTTTTCCTTATAAGACTTAAAATACCAAAATTGTCTCTTAAAATGATAGCTCTGCAATGATAAAATAAATGGCCATGCTACATCTGGATACCAGGAACAACCACTAATGTAAGTGGTCAAAACGTGCAAATTTTTGAAGTGTTCAAAATGATAAAGAGAAATATATGATTGGTTTTAAAAAAGAGGTTGAACTGCGATAGTAATAAAGTGGTTCAGGATGATACAGATGGTTCTATTTACAGGTAGTTTCATAACCTCCTAGATAATAGCTATGAAAATAGCCAACGTTTATCAAGTCCTTTCTATATGCTAATGCTTTATGTATATTACATTTAATTTCCACAACCCAATGAGGTGAATACTGTTATCCCCATTTTCATTAACCAAACCAAGACTAAGAAATAAGAGTTACTTTCCCAAAGTCCTATTTCCAGTTCTATCAGGACATTGTAGATCTAGATTTAAGTTTTCCTATGTACCTTTCACTTTTAATTGTGGGTTTCAGTTATACCTTTTGAATTATAAAATATACCTTTTATTTTTCACAGAAACTATATCTTAAATCAAAATTTGATTTAAGAAGAAAAAAGAGGCAAAGGTATAGAGAGAATAAATAAATGTTTATTAACCTTTGATTAAGATTATTATAGCATCAGAAGACAAAAAAATACAAAAAATGTATTACACTGTTCTTTAAAATTTGTATGAGTTCTCAATGAAATGATGTCTTTTTTTTTTTTTTTCCATTTCTGTAGCAAAGCATAGGCAAGTGTATTTGTGTGATCTTACAGCAGACCAGAATCTTATGTAAACGGACAGTTTGGATCCCTAATAGTACTGATTAGGTTGGTAAAGTTTGAATGCATCTGATTCTTGAAATTGTGAAATTGCATGAGAGAGCAGAACGCAAAGAGTATATCATAAACACCAAAGAAGGAGAGAATTTCAAGAGGACATCCTACAACCTGTTGGCATGAAAGAAATTGAAGGAATTGGTACCCAACAATGTCAGATGCTTCTGAAAGATTAAAAAGGATTGGTTGGGACTGAGAAAGGCCATTGAGTGTACTGATTTGGGCAGTAGTGACCTCTAAGAGAAGAGCTTCTCTTTAGTTGAGGGATGTAAAGGTCAGAGATAGAATATTGCACCTGGAAGTTTTAAATGGTTGTCTAGATCTGTGTTTTTACAGATAACATGTTTTAGGTTCAGAGAGATTAGAACATTTAAAGTAGGTCAGTAGTTCTCAGCCAATGATACTTTTACCACTCGAGGCATTTGGCAATGTCTTGACATTTTTGATTGCCACAACTGGGGAAGGGTCTGATACTGGCATCTAATAGGTGGATGTCAGGGACACTGTAAAACATCCTACAATGCACAACAGCCACCACTATCCCCCCTCCTCCCCCCACACACACCCCAAAGAATCATCTGACCCTAAATGTCAGTAGTTCCAAGGTTGAGAAACCCTCATCCAGGTCACCAGCTGATGCTAAATCCAGATATTTGTAAAGAAATAGAAACAGTGAATACAGACTGCTCTTCATTCGTAAGAGAAGGTGACAGCTTCAGGAGGGTTTTTTTGAGGGTTTCTTTGAAAAGCAGAGTCTTAAGCATACTTAAAGGCAAGTGAAGAGGCCAGTACAGAGCAGAAAACATTAAGGATAAAAGTTAGGGAACAACTAAAGAGGCAAAGCAGGGAAGTAGATGGAATCAGGCATTCACTAGATTTCACTAGGAGTCTAGATTTTCTTGCATCGGAGTAATTGTCTTACTTCAAGTAATAACAAAGGGCTACAGTTCTGATGTTAAGAGTTTTTCAGATTAATACATTTCTAAATTTGGAGTTTGACTAAAACACCTGTCTTTTAAAATAATCTAATGGTCCAGTGAAGTTATAAAATTGATGTACAGCATCTGTAAACATATAAATTCTAAAGAGAGTTAATCTTGTTTAGTGCTAAGTATACGGACTTCCCTAGATTGAATTCCAAGCCTCTCCCATTATTTATTACGACCTTGAGTGAGTTTCTGAATCTCTCAGTTTCTGTTTCTTCATCTATATAGAAGTATTCAGTAAATGTCAGCTATTAAATAGAAGTTCCATGCAATAACAGTTTGTATCTATAATTCTGCTTTACCCGCAGAAGGGAGAAATGTAGTTGAAATATTCTATCAAACGAATATTGCTTTTTTTGTATTGATCATTTGATTATATAACCTTTGGCTTCTCTAGTAAGATTTGGTTATTTTATTTACAAAGAAACCCTTAGGAAAAAAATTAGAAAGACTGATTAAAATTATCTTTAAAATTCTCAGGTTCTGCTAAAATTGTACATATTTTGTATTCTTTAAATAAATGGTTGATGTTAGAAAAGTACATGCCCAGCTTTCTCTTGAATAGAACATATAGCTTTAAATGTCTTATGTTACGTATAAGATAGTAAAGTACATATGTGAATTCATAACTGATAAAAACTACATTTTTGTTTCAACAAACTTAGGCTATGTCTATAGAAGGAAAAAATTAACATCACATTTATCCTTCTGTTATCAACTCTAATAATGGACTTTATTTAGACAATACTCTTCGGATACTGGCTATCTCCTCTTAAGCTTCAGCTGTTTTGTTTTTCAGATCAGCAGAAACATTTAAAAAAGAAGATGATCTTGACAGTCTTATTAATGAAATATTTGAAGAGCCCAACTTTGATAAAAAACCCTTTGTAAGTCAAGTATTATAAATATGCAGTAATATTTCATTATTTCAAGACATGTTTAGAATAGTATGAAAATTTATAGAATCTACAAGCATCTGCAGTCCTTTGCATTCTGAGAAATACAGTCATCTTAGTAAATTATTCCACTTAGAGTTGTAGAAAAACTATTAGAAATTCTTAGTGTGTGTTTTGCTGTTCATTTCTC